ACACTACATGATACAATATAACAAAAAAGATGCTTATTGAACTTCAATCACTTCGCTGTAAAGTTCTGATGTGATTTTGATAAGGTAACTTTTATGCCCAACAATTTACTCAACCTTTGGACTTGCAATCAATTCATAAGACTTTAAACACATTTTGAAAACTGAACCATTCAATTATTCAATGTTCTATTGAAACATTGAACCCTTCAGAGTATTTTTAAACTGACTAGAATGATATTAAGAACTATCAGCTCATCCGATCACTGTATAATTTCACATTTGTTTGTTTAAATAAACTCATCCATTAATGAAGGTTTATAAGATTCTTTTGTGTTTCTCACTGTTATTCCACTCAAGGACCTTGTTATTGGCTACAATACCGAAAGTGGAACAATACTTCAATAAAAATGATTTATGTAAAATTAGTAACACGTTGAACATTGAGCATAATTACTCAGCATGTCATATTCTTGAAGAAGCCATAAAACGTTTCATGTTACGATTAAATATGCTCCATCCTGTGCTGCTATTCCCCCAGTTCGAAATCTGTACAATATCAAAGATGGCGATTGTAATCTCAGAAGGATGTGATGAAAGGGAGAGTAAATTATGGCCATATTATTCAATGAATGAGTCATGTAAGTTGAATTGACGACCAGTGGTGTTTTCGAGTAGTGCTCTACAACCTTGTGATTCCTTTAGATATATTGGATATATCTCGGAATACTTTGTATATTGAATCACATGAGATATGGGGAACACTGCACGCTCTTGAGACTATCCTTCAATCATTGTATAAAGCTACACATAATCAAGTAATGTGTTTTATGAAGAAGTCACTTGAAAATTCCACCAGAATGTGATGTTTATTTGTCATATTGAAGATTCACCACGATTCCCACATCGAGGAATGATGATTGATACAGCTAGGCATTATTTGACAATTGAGACAATACAAAATATGATTGTAAGTTGTGTGTTTGATTTCGCGCCAATGTTTAATGAACAAATATAAACAAAGGATGCTTTGTCGATGGTGAAAATGAATGTGCTACATTGGCACATGACAGATGATGAAGCCTTTCCGTATGATTCCTCAGTGTATCCTGAATTGTCTTCAGCGGTAGAAATCTATTTTTGAGCTATAAAGTAATTCGTTTTTCAGGGAGCATATCATCCACACTTGTATGTGTATGAAAAAGATGAAATCGAGTCGATAATAGAATATGCTCGAATACGAGGAGTTCAAATCATGATTGAATTTGATAGTCCAGGTGAGTAAGGAGCACTATCTTGTTATGATTATTATTATTTACTTAGGTCCTGAATGTAACATAAAAATGTAAGGGTACATCTTCATTTTAACCTGTTCTCGGAATTTGCTTATAGCTGGCACCACGATTGTCCACAAGGTATTATGTCCTCTTATATTACGTCTTCTTTGTCACACTGCGACGCCTAAATCATCGTTTTGCATTACAGTTCCACCCAGGGTATCAGGATTTGATGTCACCCAACACTCTGTACATCTCCCATATATCTCCATTTACCTCTCAGTGATTGTTTGGTTATGGGTTCTTCGACGGTTCGTTGGGCTACTAGAGTTCCTAGTTGCTGATTGTTTCCTGCCGACCACCTGATTGCCAGTCGATAATTGTCTGCAGTAGCCTGTTTGGCACGTCAGTCAAGTCTTTTAACCATGCAGAAGAACTAATCAACTTGATATTAGTGTTGAAAATCTGAATCGTGTTCTTTATATTGAGTGCAACCAATATCCCCGATGTTTAAACAGTGATGACAATTCGTCTAACTTTTTCAATCTTGGTTATCTTTCACGTCCTCACGCTAGCTGTCTGTAGAATAAACGACGCTGCCTAGATAAGTGAAGGATGTAACCTGTGTCAGGTCTCTACCGGTAATGTTGATTGGTGCTGGTCGTTGTTGCTATTGCTGTTGGTCGGTTGGTTGGTTATCGTCAGCACCGCCGTCTTCCCTATGTTCACCTGGAGTCCTGTCTTCGCTGTCTGCCAGCTTCTCCAGCCAGTTTTTTGGATTTTGCCTGCAAGTCTTCGAGTTTGTGTGACACTAAACACGAATCACTCAAGCACGAAGTTCAGACCTCCTAGAGTCTTCTTAACGCGCCAACTTATTCCCGTCTTTTCACTCCTAAGTAGATTCTGACGCATAATCCAGTTCACCGAAATAAAGAATACCATCCATGGTGATAATAGGCAAGCAGCTTGTTGTACTCCTGTATTCACTTCGAACGCCTTTCTGCGTTTTCTGTTGTAGACCACCTGACACGTATCACTATCATGTAGCCAGACGTTAAATGAGGTTGATGAAGACTTGAGTACTGCACGCAGTAGTGTTGAAGTAGTTCCCAAATTAATTCTCAGTCAACGTTATCTGTTGGAGGCCTTTTCGAAGTTGACGAAGTTGAGGTAGAGAGAGGTTTGACTGCCATTCTATGCTTTGTTCTGTGATGATGACGCGTAGAGTTGCAATTTGATTAGCATATGATTTGCCTTTCGTGAGCCTAGATTGTTCCGGCGAGCATCCAGTTAATTCCTATGTGGAAGTTATTGCATTCTGCAAAAACCAAGACATATCAACCACACTGGCATCAATCAATATTTGACCATTACAATTGACTTTTCGTGAGATGTTACCTACTGCATTTCTTCCAGTCTTATGAGCACACTATATAATGACTGCCTCTGTTTCTATTTTCTAGGTCATACTCTGTCCTGGGGCGCAAGTCATCCTGAACTACTATCGGGCACATCACATGATGGACCAATAAGACCAGTCGGTGAGGATGTATGGACGTTTCTATCAAGTTTATTCCAAGAAATTCTGAGTGTATTCCTCGATAGCTTCATACACTTAGGCGGCAATAAGTATGATAAACATTCATGGCGATTTTTATTGAAATTATAATTCAGTTTATTAAAGAGCGAATCAATTACGCCCTGGATGAAAAACTTCGACCGAATGGAATCACGCAAAAATGACATGGAGGATCTGGACTTCGCCGATGACATATGTCTGATTTCCCACAAACTGGAAGATATGCAAACGAAAAGCAACAAGTTGGCGATAGAAGAATCATCCAGAGAAGATAGCACTTCAGGTGAACAAAGAGAGAACAGAGATGATGAAGATTCCTGGCCAAAAGCGGTGGCGACAGCAACAAAAACAGACAACAATCAGGATAAATGGGAGAAATTGGGAAGAAACAACCTCATTTACCCACCCACCTACCTGGGTGATTACTCTGAAACTCATGTGGAAATCTGTTACAATAAGCATAAGGAACGAGGCCTGGATCTTCAACACTAGTGCAGTTTAGTGATTGCTTCTATGTGGTTCAGAGGTTTGTGGTGTTATGGAAAGCATTCTCAACAGGCTGACACATAATCCCATCAGCAGCTGTATTTGGTTCATAATGAAGATCAGATTGCTGGCCTAAAAGGATGAGCGATAACGACCTCTGCCAATGAACGAATCAATCAAGAACCCATTGCCCAAGAAACATTCTAAAGTCAATGGAGATGGACTGGACACACACGAAAGAAACGGTTGAGTGACAGTGCACCCTAGAAAGACCATCGAGTGGAACACAAATGGAAAACGATGAGTTGGTTGTTGGAGAGAAATCGTATTAGGAGGGGAGGAAAGATAACACGTAGTCGTGGAGCAAAATAAAGAGAACTGCAGAGAACAGGATGAAATGAAAGTGCGTTGCTGAAGACCTATTTTCCACTTGGAACTTATTAGAATCTTAATAATAAGAATAATAATAGGCAAGGCTGTGTGGTACTTTGTTGGATCGCTATATGCTACACAGCACCCACCTTACCTAATTCCACACTTATTCAATACACTGGCCAACCTGCAAATAATTTTAACAAACTACGAATGAAAAGGAATCAGCCATCCAGAAGCTCACGGTGATGTGGAAGATATTTAATTAATTTTGAGGTTATCTGAATAAATTGTTCTAGGATTTATTTGGCTAGTATGACTGAAGTGAAGAGGATATGTGTCTTACCAGAACATTGGAGGGGCATCTGAACCTGGTCGACTGCCTACCCGTTAAAACAAAACTCAAAACACCTATGACTTCAGTATGTCAGCCAGATATTTATTTAGCTAATGTCATGTTGATTCGCATCACTTGTTTAGAAATCTTGCCAACCACTCACGCGGCCCACGTTCAATTCCAGACGCCATGATAGTTACAATATAAGCCTTTCGTCAAAATCCATCTTAGTTGTTGCTGTTTGATTGAAATGAATGAAAGTCTGACATATACACGCGTACACAAACACCTACAGACATTCATGAATATTAGTGAGTAATTCATCGATGGAGAAACTACATTATGCAGAAGGTTTCACGAGGCTTTCATCGGTACTCATGACATGTCTAATTCAAGATGTTTGTGGGTTCTAGAGTATCATTTATGCATATTTATATCGGTTTAGATCACGGATTGATCTCAGACAGCGGAACACTAAAGATTAAGGAGTATCTCACAGCTATTTCGTCCTTGTTCGATACACTTCAGATGTGCGCACCCGTCAAACTACAGTGGAATGAACCTAACACAGGTCAGCCTGCGAGTCACTGGACGAAAACTAATGGCCCATGAATTCTAGTTTTTGTCAGTTTCCAGTATATGGCACAACCATTAGAAGATTTGGCCTCAGTGAACTAAGAGTCGACGGACTTCACCAGTAACCCAAAAGCCCAGGGTTCAATTGCTAGCAGGGGCCATGGGTGCATTCCCTAAAGAGCCTCAAGTTACGCCGAAACATCTAGGCAGTATTTCCTGTTAGTCTTAAACAGTTTCCTAACCGATCTCAGTCAGTTAGTGGTCTAAACTGAAATCATTGAAAAACTGTACAAAACAACCCTTCGAAAATTGTATGTACAATAAGAAACGTTATGTTCTACTTGATAGGGAAGAAGACGTGGAGATCCAAAAATTCATGCAAGAGAATGGATTTGACCAAGATTATAATAAACTAGAAAATCATTATTTTGAACAGCTCACAGGAATTATTCAGAATATGACTGCAAATTCAGGTGGTATTACACCTGTTGTCTGGCAGGAGGTATTTGAAAATGGTTTTCGTGTGAGTTTAATTGAAACTTTGAAATTAGTTATAAAACTACACTGTACTTTATTTTTTTTATTTTATTATCATTATATGAATAGTATTCAAAGCAAGATATAAGTTAGGAATATAAGTGATTTTGTACGTATGATGTGAACATGTATGAGAATGACTGTTGAAAGAGTTAAAATATCTTATTGAAAGTTAAGGTTCTTCAAAAGCTGAGCTTCAAGAACCAGTCAGATACAGAGGATGGTACACAGCGTCATTCCAAATCAAATCATGTCTGCCTTTTTTGACTTGGAGAGGGTAACTACATTATTCTACTTATTCCCGAGTTACTTTTTCTAGAAATCTGTACTGTTAGCTAGGGCTACGGCTTTTAAGATCAAGGCTGACACTGTAGGTCTAAGGTAAGGTGTAAGGTTCAAATGAGGATTACGATTAGAGTATGGTGTAGGTTAAAGAAAAGTGTCAGAAATATCAGTGGCTCTCAAATTACCATGATCTGCAGTCACCTTGATGAATGTATCTATCAATCATAGTACTGTAACAACAGAAAGCAAGACATGGGAGGCAAAGTGTATTTTTCATTTATCAAATCGCTGTTTATATATGTACAGTTTATATTCTTTAACCAACCACTGAGCGTGTGATTTCGGTTTACATAAAAGGACATGAAATAGAATGTTCAAATATACATAGTATTCTGTTGTTAATGCAGTATATAACTGCTGGAATATGGGAGAATAGTATTCCATTGGCACACATTGTCTGTTTCACATCACCACAGTATGACTTCTTTAGAGATCATCTGTGTATTGACTACGAGACATTCTTACAACACATACTCGACAATTATAAAGTGTACTATCATGTCGACAATGGCTTTCAGTGCAATTTTCTACGATTAATCAACCGTTTTGCATCTGAATTCTGATTACCGGATTATATGTATTCTGAATAGTTCGGAGTCGTAACCATATGCACATTTTCACAGAACGTCTATGTCAGTGTCTGGACAACATCCCCGTTAACTGTTTCTCAATGCTATAACCATCTTTTATTACATACAATTAGGTAATGACGTTTGTATATAATATAATAATAATGTACAGAATATTCAGCAGAGTTTTCTGCATGATATTTCCTCTTCGTCAAGGATCTTCAAATAAGAGATCAGTTGTCAGCAGATCATGTGACATAGCTCTATCTAACCTGAAGCCCAAACTTGTCCGTCATTATGATATCTCTTCTTTGTCTCTTCTTCAAGAGAAATACACGACCTTATTTTGTTAAATGTCAAGTGTAAGACATTTAAGAGAACATTTTGTGAACCAGTCACACTATTCAGGAACGGTCATTGTATGTGCAGGGATAAGCTGCCATCCAGGAGGATAATACTTCTCTTATGAATCTTCTTATGAATCACCAGGTTGTCAATGTTTCAGATACTCGCCAGCTTACACGATACTATTAGAGGTCAAACTTTACTAGATTTAAACAAACTGAATTAGGGAAATTACATGCAACACAAGAGTTTGTCCTGTTTCCCCCGACAGAGTCTAATAGTGTCAGATGAATCTTTATTTTCCTTGAATATTGCACAATTGATTAAAACGTGCTTCTTATGCATCACAAGCGTCTAAGAGGATTTATTGATTTGAACGGAAAATAACCACGAAATCGGGAATAAAATGGAAACTTCTGTGGGATGATAAGGAGGAGGAGAAACAGGAGAATACGTCCACAACCTCCGACGTTGCATCAATACTTTCCTCGTTTCTTTCACAATAACAGCCTTATACTACTGCTCATTTTCACCAGTTTTTCCCAACAGTACCTTGTATGTGGGTGTTCTCGAGTAGCATAGTGTGATAAGTCGTCTCAATTATTCGTTGACATCTCATATGAGTAACGAACTAAATAGGATCTATAGATCTCAAGAAAAATATTAAATCCATACACTAATAAGCTTTCGTTTTATGTCAAAATTAATTCCTCAGGGCAATGCTAACACTGTCATTCATGTTCAGAATGAGTCCAATTGGGAAAATCTAGTAAAATCGATTATATCAACTGGTTATGAGGTGATCAATTCAGCGTGTTGGCAGGAGATTGAAAATGATTTTGCACGGAATGGGGAGAAATTGTACAATTGTGATCCAACTGAATTTGAAGGTGAGACAGCATTACTTCACATGACTTCGGTTCACTTATCATCCCTTTTTAATGGACTTGTAGGTTATCTGATGAGGGATGAACTCCCGATGCTTGCCACAGCTTGCTGTCAAGCTTTCACATATTTGTCATCTGGCAGGCTAGTGACTGGACTGAGTAGCCACAGGTTTCTGAAGTTGCATTTCCAAGTTTAAGCAAAACGGAGAGCGAATGGTTGTATACAGTGTGAAAGCAGTTATGTGTAATGAAGATGAGACATTGAGTGACAATGTAGTGAGGCTAACTGAAATCATAGCAGCGAAAGACAGTCAGAATTACATTTAAACAAACGCAGAAGAGGATGAAGTGAAAGATAACGCAACAAAATAAAATGGATATTAAAGGCTTCGAGTAACAAGGGCAAGGACAGACTGACGAAATCTTCTTTCTAAAGACATACATCGGATTTCAGGAGCTTGATGGCAGTCGCTTCTCCTTAAGTTGATTAGTGCTTCTTGGAGCCTTCTTGGTGGTTATAAACGTTAATCTGTGTTAGGAAAGCGTTCTTTCTTGGGACAAACACCTAAGTTGTTTATTACGCCATCTCAGTCTTCCATTAAACTGAGAATATGTGATTCCACTTTCTTTTCTGAAAGGTACTGATGAAGAGGCCGCGATGGTTACCGGTGGAGAAGCGATAATCTGGGGAACATATGTTGATGATATCAATCTCTTCATAGAGGCGTGGTAAGTGGTTTTAAACATGTATTAAGGCTTCATTCTCATCATCACTTCTACACCACGCAGTATTCACATAAAACTTGTTATAATAGTAAATAGTATGAGTCTCACTTAGATTTTTGTTCAATATGAAAACTTAATGGATTCAAACAGCAATTTCTCCACAGGCTGGATCGTGACAAACTGTGTGACAGTAGACAACTACCGTGTCCTGCAGTAAGACTCTACAAATTTATGCTTCTGGAACTCTTGGAATGTCCGAGACTGGGGTTATTGGATTAAGATGTAAACACATTACTATCGAGGTAATTGGTTACAATTCCACAATGAGAAACATCCCTCTTCACTCAATTCGTCATCTGGTGCCACCTGTCAATCACTTTAAAAGTAATGCTGAACCGAGTAGTGGAATAAACTGAAGAATCATCGGCGGACCAAATCGAAATGGGTTACTGGAGAGTTATGTGCTCTGACAGTCTTGAAATGGTCCTTGCACAGAATGGAACAGTAATCATGTGTACTTTCTGGTTACAACGCGGCGAGCTCGTAGACCATTAAGTCACTGGGACCTGATTCAACGACCAGCCCATGAATTCCTGAAATGGGACATTATTGAATCTTTTAGGAATTAAATGTGAACTAATTGATGACAGTTCATTGACCTGGATAGAATGGATACATTTATGGTATGAAATCCCCCTTCAGTTCATGTGATTAACAACATGTTACCCGCACCGACCACCCACTCGTCGCTTGCCGTAGAGATTCCACTCGAGCCATAGCCTGCAATTCGCGCGATATCATTCGACGGCCTCCTCAAAGTATGCCTGATCAATCCTTCTCCCTTTCCGCCAACATACTTGTTGACCAATCAGCTCTCGATTGGTTGTTTACCAGCAAGAGATTCTTGTTGCTAATTCTTTTTGGCTCACTAGCTGGCCATTTGATTTTCAGTATGCAGCCAGCCAGTGAAGGTGGCAGTTGTTGATAAAAGTCTGCTGTAACCTTTTTGAAAAACTTTTCATGACACGTAGTGTAAGTTTCTGACCTGTATAGAAGAACTGACTGGCTGACTTCACATTTGTGTTGTACAGGATCCGAACTTGTTCCTTATGCTGGTTAAGTCAGTGCGGACAATCTCCAAACTGGTCTCAGGTTGATGAAGGCGTATCTTTTCTTTCCGATCCTGTCTGGCTTTGATATCCAAATCCGTCCCAACTGTCTATGAAAAACAGCTCAAGTTCATCATGTCATTTATGTGTTGTTGATGAATAGTGTTGAAATGCGTCATGTGCACTTCATGCCATTTACCACCGACATAGAGTTTGAACCCTGGGGCTGATGATTTCGAGTCTCATTTGAAAGAAGATAACTCGCAGAGAATAGGCGGTACATCTCACTGACGAGATACAAAATCGAGCTGAATGTGTACCTTAGACGTCACCGCTCGTCGTCATCAAACATACAACATTGTTTTGGCCTTAAGGCATTGACAAAGCGCTTTCAAGCTGGTGGTATTTTGAAAAACGTCTACTCAAAGAATGACCTGAAAAGAAATGACTTGTTGTTAGGCTACAAAAATAGGCCGGAATAAATGTATCCAAGTACTAGTTCCCTCATAATCCCATGTTACTTGAGTAAATTAGCACCATGCCAGTTACCTCCAGTTCAGAGATTATGCTAACAGAACTAATATTTATCCAAAAATAACATCTTTGCATTTCGGGAATAATTCCTAAAGATACAGTGTTTTTTACCACTATGTGAAGGCCACTAACCGCTGTTGTTGCTGAACGTCTATGGTCTCATAATGCAAATGACTTTGGTGAATTTTTGAAAAGATTGGAGAAACTTCGATGTCGAATGAGAGTGTAAGTTATGCATGTGTATTGAAATCAGGGCATGTATGCATGCCAACTCTTTTTATCAATCTTGAAACTGACAGATCTGCTACAAAGTTTGATCTCAGCAATCCCATGGTTTGAACTGATTCGAATCTCTGAGCTGGGTCAAATCGGATACACCGCTAATGGGCTTGGCTGCAAACTATTGAAACTTCCGCCATATGTCTAGATCACCTCAGTCTGGCTGGATAGCAAGCACTACTGGTTGATGTTTGTATGGCATACAACTACTCACCTCAATCAATCAGTAGTATATATACTTCTATGGAAATTTGCTTGTTTTCTTGATTACCATTCATGGAATCAATTAGATCACACTCAGTGAACTGCATAACTTGGTTTCCAAAGGAAACTATGATGAAACCACACACCTCGAACTGTGTACACTGAAAAGTGCTTACTGATTTGATGTCAACAAACCGTAATCTACATCTCAGTTCACTTAGGAATGTACTCTGAAGTGAGATTGTGAAAGTGTTGGATGCTTCAGAGAAATGTCCATCATGAATACTGACTTCTACCATTTCATGTTATATAGCTCAACAGTCAGGCAGTTTCATCGACTAGTAACTTTCGTCCTTCGTGACTTGGTTGATCCAGTTGACCACGGCGTCTCATTGGAACTACAGGTTAATTCCCGTGAAGCTCTAGTCTCAGGTGAACGTTGGAATAATTTTCAAGTGTTGGTTTGCAAGGATTTCTTTCGTTGATTACAGGTTTGATCCTTTAGCCTGAGTTCCAGCCCCAATGGATGCATTCTGATGAAGATTCCCAAATTGGGATGAATCACCTGTCCAGTTCTCTCAGGTTTCTCTACTGTTCTCTAATTGATGTCACTCTGTGATATAACTTGAAATCAATCAAACTACTGCAAACCAACATTTGAAAACATCAGAAAACTACTGTTACTAATCTATTTATGTGTAGTGTGAGTTACAGTGAAGGATGTCAACGGTTGCAACAGATACACTACATGCTTATGCAAGTGTTTATTCTGAAACTTTCAAATTACTGGTTATAACCGGAACAGAGACAAATTAAAACAATAAACCAATGGTCTAAAATACGAAATATGTATATATGGATCAGAAATATAGAAAGGTTATGACTGCTTTACTTAGTATAGTGTGTGCACAAACGACTGAGTGTAACACAAGAGAGTGTCGGATGAAGTGGATTCTTCACCACGTACTTTCAAATTAAATACGTGATTTGAACGGTGAATATTAGTATCCAGTGTTGAAAGGTGGATTTTATTTTAATTATTTATTATTCTCTTGGGTTCGAATTCGCACAGAGGGCTTCCACAACACATCTCTACTCTGTTCTATACTCTGAAGTCCTCTTCAGTTAGGTCCACGATTGTCATACGATCTCCCATATGTCACCTTCGCGCCAACCACCCGCTCGTTGCTACTCATCCACTTTTCACTCGAGCAATGGCCAGTGTTGCGCGCAATATGACTCCACAGCCTCCTCAACCTATGCCCGATCTATCTCCATTTTCTCTTACATATTTGTTGAGCAATTGGCTGTTCAGTGGCTTGTTGCTAATTCTTTCTGTCTGGCCAGCTGGTCATTTGATCTGAAGTATGGAGCCATGGAAGAAGGCAGCTGTTGATAAAGGTCTGCATCCTTTTAGAATTCCTTTCCGTGACACAGTGAACGTTTCTGACTCCTATAGAAGGATAGACCGACTTCACATTGGCGTTGGACAGAATCCGAATCTCGTTTTTATGCCTCTGGCTGAGTCAGTGCAGAAGATTTCCAAACTGGTTACAGGTTGATTAATGTGTATCTCGCCATTCCGATTCTGGCTTGCTTTGACATCTTCATCCATCCCGTCTGCCTGTGTTTGAAGCAGTGCTCACTAGATGACTGAAGAAAGTAAGTTGGTTTTCACCTGCAAGTCATTGAGTTTGTGTGACATAATACAAATATCACCTGCTAAATCCATACCCTCTACAGTTTTCTTATCGGTGGATGCTGCAGGATAATAATTTTGTGAAATTACTTACCACTTCAAGGAGGCGATGACAGAAGGTGAGCTGAAATCCTGCATAGTGATGCGATTTGGTAACTCGCCCTCCGAATTACTAGACTTTCTTTCAACACTCGTGCATCGTCTACAACATTAAAATCAATCTGCCTACCTAATATGATCTCAGATGGTCTGACCATCTATTGCTACTTTGTCAACAAACTGCTCATGTTTATGACTTCGCATTCTGAATCACAAAGCTTGTTTATGATTACAGCATTAAAAGATTTCAGACATCTACCTTTAAATTGACTGTATCTGTTTAAATTGAACCTACTAACATGTTTTATACTCATATAACAACAAACTTCAACACTTTTCCAGATTTAACTGGAAGGTGAAGCCGTTTACTGGGCCTGGATTCTGTTCCGTATGAAGAAACTGCCAGAGGAATGTGGCAAATTCAACCATTCACAAATAACGTTGAAACATTCGATACTCTAAGTGGACATGTTGAGAATACAAACACAATGCCACTATTGAAATTTATTTTGAAATAAAAGTGTATTTTGTTGAGGTGGGATGGGGTGAAACTCAACTCTTTTCTTCATTTACATCAAACTTAGTGTAACAGTGACATGTGATTTAATTCGCCCTCTGGTTATTTCTATCGCATACAAGGTGACATTTTTAGAGATTTTAGACAACTATGATGACCTCTTGATACTGGTATGTCTTCTTCCACTCCTTGACAAACATAGTGTTAATTGACTATGAGCACAGTATTTCTGACGATGTATCCTTCTGTTGATCGTGTCTTTTAAAGAAAGACTCTACGATTAGTTGAGAAATCGTCTGAGCAGTCGATAAGCTGCTAGATATTTGGTCATTATGTAACACTTGATCAGCTTTGCTGAAATTCGTGATCTGTAGTACCTACCAAAACTTAGCCTGTAAAGCCTTATAAAGAAACATGGGTCAAAAGGAATTTGCTGGAAAAAGAATTCTGTTAATTAGACAAACGTTCTAGGTGAATTCAGAGGAAAGGAAAGGCAAATTACGTGTGTAATAATGGCTGTGTGAACAAGTACAAGAGCTTCGGAATGTGGTGATGAAGAATAAGTGGATGCGTGTTCCTTAAATTATGCATAAATCACACAGTTAAAATGGTGTGTTTAAACAGCTGTGCAATTGTGGCTGACAGAGTGAAGGATCAGGGAAAATATAAGCTGATGAATTCCTAAGTGTATAAAATCCTCAGATGTTTAATCGCAAAGGCTATCGACAGATTTAACGATAAATTCACAGGTGAAATTCGTAGACGTCGGACGCTGTTCTGAGGAGGAACTTCTGAAATTTCTTCACACTAATTTTAATCCAGATGATCTTCTCTTTCGCTTATAAAACCTAAATCCTCATTTTTGCATAAGGTTTGTCCTTTGATTAATAAATTTAAATCTTCAATGGCTTTCAGTTCCTGTTTAGAAATCTCAGGAAACAAAATGGAGATATTCACAGACAACACAATGACTTAACCACATTCTTCTTAAGTCCCAGAATTTCCGGGATTTGCAGTGGATTTATGCTGTGCTAACAGCATTTCCGCATCGCTTTCCAACTTGGTGATTCGTCATGTTTATAAATACCCGATTTATTCATTTGTTGTTCCCTCGGCTCCCGAATGGATAACAGTGCTTCAACAGTACATGACGGAATCAATGATCCTGTCTTCAAAATGTCAACAATCTACGTAAGAGAACTTGCTGGGCTGAAAGTATATAATAAGCGGCGCTCTTAGGATCAAGAAATGACTTATTATATGTGGAGACTTTTGGAAACCGAAATAAATTATGGCATGTTTGGTATCTCCGATAAGTTTGTGGAATACGGAAGTTAGGGAGATGGTAGGTCGTTCTAGACAATTGTAACCAGGAATGCTGAACCCGATTTAAGTGTCTGAGAGCACTAATTGGACAGAGAACATTCACCAGTCAAGGAACCTATCATCAGAAGTCATAGCTGAGAAAGATTTTGTGACGTTTAGTCAGCTGAAGGATCTAGAAACTCATTCGAGAATCAGTCGAATAATAGGATAGACAATGGCATACGACTATCTTTTGACTTCTGCTCAACTAAATTATTATTTAACCTTTTGGTAACATGTAATGTTAATTCTCACTCCTCCAGTTAACTTCTATCTTTCCATTTCTATTTGAGCTCTATTGATAATTTGAGTAGTAGCACTTGAACTGTTTAAGGCCGCAGGCAGTTAAGAAGGACCACTGAAATGAAAAAGATGAATGGTGTCGTTTCATCGTGCTCAAATTGTTGTTCTTGCATAGTTCACATTCCTGTTTCTAGTTTTCGACTTTGGTTTCTTTGATACTGTGAGAGAAAATGGGAGAATGCACAGGGAGATTGTAGTTCAGGTTTTCATCGATAAAGTCGTGTGAACCACTTCTCATCCATGAGGTAGTTAGTTGTATTTTCAGGCAAACAAGAGATAATCTTGCATCACCTGACAGTTAAGCTTGAAGCAATGAGAAGAGGAATAGCAGTCCTTCTGCGTTGGCTGACTCCTCAGGCGAATCTAAACAGAATTATGATGTATTACACCACCCCCGGCATAAAACCAAAGCAAGCGCTAAAACTAGTGGATCACACCGAACCAACTTAAAACTGAATAAACAAACGTCAATTCCGCCTGAAGATACTCAAGGTGTTTTGAATTTTCTTTTAATGAGTGAGCATCGGACTAGTCCCAGACATAATTTCGAGCCCCTCCTTTGTTCTGCTAACACACATCAGAGTCTTTAGCTCAGCCATACTGGTCAGATAAGTTCCGAAATCTTTTCCCCAAATAGCCTCAACATTTTATTCTACCTCAGAGTATGATATCAGATAACCAGGCCTCTATCAAGGAAGAGATCAAAGCGGATGAAACGAAGGAAAGATGGTCAAGGGAACCTAATTACCAAGGAGGAGAGACA